TTCGGCTTGGGTCATGATCTCACGGTTTGTGAGTTCGAGCCCCACATCGGGCTCTGTACTGACAGCTCAGAGCCTGGAGCCTGCTTCAGATTCTGTGTCTCCCTCTCTCTCTGTCCCTTCCCTGCTCATGCTCTGTCTCTGTCTCTCTAACTCTCTCAAAAAATGAATAAATGTTAAAAAAAATTTTTTTTAAAAGACAAAATAAGATATCCAACCAAAAACTCCTCATTGGCTCCCAATAAGCCATGCCTGCCTCCCAGCACACTCCATGGAAGTTGTACTACTTTGTATAGTCCTCTCCCACACTGACTCTGGGCTTGGCATGTGCCTTGCCTTGGCCAGTGGAACATCAGCATACCTGATGCAAACAGAAGCTCAATACGCATTTGCCCACAGGGCCTTGCTACCTTGAGATAACCAAGATGCAAAGAAGCCCAGGATGAAAAGCCACATGGAGAGACAGGCCCAGCCATCTCAGCTGAGCCCAGTCAACCATCTAAGCTACCCGTTGAATACAACCACGTGACAGAATTCAGAATTCGCTCAATCGGTTAAGTGTGTTAAGTGTCGACTTTGGCTCAGGTCATGATCTTGCAGTTTGTGAGTTCAAGCCCTGTATTGAGCTCTCTCTACTGTCAGTGCACAGCCTGCTTCAGATCCTTTGTCCCCCACCCTCACCCCTCCCCTGCTCACGCTTGTTCTCTGTCTCTCAAAAATAAGTAAACACACACACACAAAATGAAAGAAAAACCCGCAGCATCCATAGCATCAAAAATAATAATAAAATAGTTGTCTTAAACTCTGAGACGAGTATACCTGAGCAAAACTGAATGATGGGAAATAAGTGTCCAAACTACATTTATCTTCTTACTCAATTCAAGTTGCTACTAGTTAGTATTTACTACTTCCTAATGCCGGACACCCAAATAATAAAGGCATGCATATCTGCATCCTAAGTACTACACCAATAATAAACTAATAGCCTCATTCAGTTCATGTTATTCATAGTTCTGACAATCAAAAAAAGACCTTTATATAGTAGAGTAAGTGAGTTGACTATATTAAACAGAAATGTCTGGTCCAACTGAATTATCCCATGTGTAAACACCCTGTATATTCAATCTATGCTGAATACTATGTAGATGTTTCATGGGGTCTCTCTGGAAGGAAAAAGCTTTCCCATTCTGGAGAAGTGAAGAAAATACTTAGTCACAGGAAACGTGTATTTCAGCTTTTATCATGACCCAAAGTAGAGTTCAGAAAGGCACTGGGGATAACCAACTAAGAAATCACTATACTAAAAGCTTATGCCTCATTTATGGAATATTTTATTCAACAAATCAGTACTGAGTCCTATTATAGATATCAGATAGTATGCTAAATTCTACCTTCAAGGAATTAACCTTAGAATAAAGCTACAGTGAAACAAGTCATCAGACAATCATGATACAGTTTATAATACAGTGGTAAAAGCACAGAGGGGAAACACATCATCTGATCTAGAAGCATAAGCTTTAATCAGAAGTGTGCTCTAAGCAAGCAGAGGAGAAAAAATGCAAATGTGCAAAAGGAATAGGAAGAGTAAAAGCAAATAATATCTCATATAGACATCAAACTTCCAATAACAGTCAGTGACCATTTTCAGAGTTTTACTCTAGGGAAAGTAAAAACATGTCTGTACTCGGACAGTCATTAATTCAAACCAAACTATTAATTGCACATGACTACTATTACAAGGTACCATGGAAAATGATTACATAAATAAAACAAAGTGCCTATCTTCAAGGTAATTAAAATCCAACAAGAGATACATACACAGGAATAAAGAAAGATAAAAATGGAAAAGTAGTTTGGGGCCAGACTAAGCCTCTAATTCCAGGCTAAAATGCTTTTATTTGATAGGACTCTGTAATTGACTGAATGTGGAAATAACAGCAGAAGGAAAAGAACCAAGTTTTACAGTCTGCAAGATATTTAGGAGAAGGGCAATACCATACAAAGAAATGGAGAGGTCAGAGAGAGGAAGTGGCATGAGGACAAAGAAAAAGTTCACTTTTGGCCTATGCAGTTTATGGTGATCAAGATACTACTTCAAAAAGAGTGAAATTAACTAAAGAAATGTGGCAAAGATTTTTGACATTTCAAGTGTCATTCCAAGTCTAACTAAAAAATCACAGACAAAAGTATGAGGTGGCAACCTCACACAAAACTGGGACTCAGACAACAGTTATCATAGGTACGCGATTTGAGGCACTTCCTCCCTCCTCCAGAAATTCACTCATTGTAAAGAACCTTCACTGGCTTCCCAACCTCCTTCACATTTGATTTCCATTTTGATGGGTATCCTCAGATCCTGACAAATATCAAACTTAGTTGAATTTCTGGCATTATTTTTGGTGCCATTCTACTGTAGCGCTAACTCTAATGATACATAAATATATGCAAACACCACAGAAAACAAAAAGATTCGCCAAACCACTTTTATAAAGTCCTCAACCCATTCCATTTAAACAAATCAGTCATAAACAACATAGTCCGTAAAGCCCCAAGTTGGAGTTGTAGCTCAGGAATGGTTTTAAAAAAAATAAGGCAGAGGAAAAGCAGGCTAGAAGGAGGGAAGGAAGCATTTATCTATTACTGGTCTGTTCAACGTATCATAAAAAAATTCTCTATCCCAGTTTCTTTTTATTTAAGTAAAATCTCAATGTTTAACATTTTATGTTATATGATTTATAACTATTTTTGGAAGGACAAACCTAATTCTTAAAATATTTTAAGTTAATTCCTAAATACAGTACTTTCTCTAAACTTTGGACCTAGAGCTACTATTTGAAGGCAATTCAAAGGTTTCATTGTTATGATAATAGGCCAACGGGTGGGGAGGAAGTCTTTCTGCAAATCACTACCAAGGCTCACCTCCCAAAGTGAAGGGTCATTGAAGACGACATTACCCTGCAGGAAGGCTGTTTTCTTTTGTACAGAAACAGCTCTCTAGCAACAGTACCCACACAGCTCTGGCTAAAGTTAAAGATAAATTTAGACTTAAAGGTTACCATTTTTATATTTAAACATAATCTCTTGACTCAAGGCCCCAAAAGCCCAAAAACTCTAAACCAATCTACTATACTTGGGATCTGTTCCTCCGCAATTATTTTAGCTATGAAACTAATACAAGTCCAACTTTATAAATGGTAGCTAGCAAATTATAGCAATTGCATGTAAGTATGTAGAAAATCATTCTCAAATTAGTACTAAAAGTTGGATGTAAGGTTAAAGGAAAAATATGATAAAAGAATGATTGCCTCAAAAAACTCTCTAAACATGCTAAAATACAATGCAAAAAGGTAGTTTAAAATAAGAGAAATCCTCATAGTGCTCTGAGGGAAAATAAAAAGGGTAAATGTTACTAGCAGGCAGCGCCAGGGCAGCTATGATTCAGATTTACATACAGGAATTCCCAACAAAAATCTCCTTTGAAGATTCACCTGCAACTACATTAACGTCTGAAAGCAACTGCTCTAAAACACTATACCCTCAGATGTCAAGCACTGTGATAGGCCCCTTTTATATACAACTAATCCACATAACAAATCTGAGGCAGATATTATTATGCTTCTTTTACAAAAATGTCAACAGATTTATGGAGATTAAATAAATTGATCTTGCGGGTCATCAGTGATAAGCAAAGACCCCAGGTCTCTCTGAAATCAAAGCCCACACTTTACCCTTCAAAATTACAGATATCCAAATAACTCATATCCACTTCCAAAACATTTAATGTTCTTTTTTCAAATAATTTTTTCATTTGATGAACATCTACTATGTGCTAGCCTGCAACGATGTAAGAAGACAACAAGGTCCTTCTTGGACCTTACAGGCTAAGGCGGCAGTTCTCAGCCAAGGATCCTCATCTGAACCACAGAATACAGAAAATAATTCGAGTAACTCTTTTTCTCAATTTTCCCAAGAACAGTACATAACGATTACAATTCTAAATGCATAAGTTAGTTCATTACATACAATGGATTAGGCTCAGCATTAGTACTTAATTCTCTCCCTAAAATGCTAGTTGAGAAAGGCTGCTCTAAAGGAAAAAAAGCTCAAAATAATTAATTATAAATACAAAGAATGTCTTATTACTGACAGTAAAATATAATTTAGAGAAGTCAGCATAGCTAACATTTACTTAGAATTTAGAAACAGTATGTAATTCACACATACATTCAGGAAGGTTAAAAGTATGCTAAAGTGATATTGGAGTCATATTCCCTGGGTTACAATCCTGACTCCAGCATCACCTTGGGCTCTAAGCTTCAGTTCTGTCATCTGTAAAATGGAAACAGACAAAAAAACAAAACAAAACAAACCCTACCTTTTCCATTTGAGTGATTAAATGAGATGCTGAAAGAGTAAAAACCTCAAAACAGCCCAGTACCCCTCGAGAACTCTTAGCTACTATTTTTATTATTATGGTTCATGCATCTACCAAGTACAGAGCACTATGCTAGGCACTGGGGAAATAACGAGTAAGATGGGGAATACACCTCCAAAAAATTTCTAACACAGCATGAGATAGGACATCCAGGCAAACAGCCATGACAAAAAAAAAAAAAAGAGAGAGAAAAGTATTATAGAAAGTCATAAAACATCAAAAATGAAAACCGTACCCAATTTTCGAAGAATCCTTTTGCATTCATCCCTGCTGAGATCCAAAAGGGTTGGCCACACAACAGGCATTGCTGCTTCTTTTTGGTAGCCCCAAAGAGCTTGTCTTCCCTAACAAAACAAAACAAAACAAAACAAAAATCAAATTAACAAAGTACATTCAAAAGGCCACTTGCCTGGAGATCCACACCCTAAGAAGTAAAACCAGTAAGAACAATCCTATTTCACCACCACAGTTTTCAACTTTTGACAAATGAAGAACTGAACAGCCATTCCGGAGCTTATTATTCCGGCATAAGACACTGGAAAGAGCACAGGCTTTAGGGTCAGACACCTCTAGGTTCTAGTTCTAGCCTTCAACTCACTGGCTGTGCGATCCTGGGTGAAGGGGCCTATCTGAGCAAAAGTTTTCCCCATCTGGAAAACAAAGGTATTATCATCCAATTCGTCATGAGGATTAAAGGACAGTATGTGAAGTTCTTAACCACAGTGGCTGGCATGTTGTTTAATAAATAGGTGCTACTACTTGATTTGGGCAAGTCACTTGATTTCTGTTGGCTTTCTCATTCAAGACTTACAAGAGAGAAAATACATAAAGCTGCCAGCTCGTTACAAGGGCTAATGGAACTTCAAAAACTGTCTTCTCAAGTCTGAACAATGAACGATGAGTTTACACCCAGAAGTCCTTAGACAATCATTTACCAAAATTTCAGATGTCAGGAATTTACTTTGTACTGGGAATTGCCTGGTTCAGAGGATAAAAAGACAACTTAGCGCTGAGGGCTTGAACAATACCTGCTTAGCACACAGCAGATCCACTGTAAATATTGGTTAAGTAAGTGAATGAAGACAGAGAAGAGTAGAATGAATGAGTGAGTGAGTGAGTGAATGAATGAATGAATGAGCGAGCTCACTCCCCAGCTGAGGAGTCAGGCACCGAACCGTAATAACTGCTATATCCCGTTCCAGGCACTGGAGCTGCTAACTCCAACCCTGCGCCCGGAGTTGACCGTCCCCCCCCCCCCCCCCCCCCCCCCCCCCCGCTCCGACTTCCCATAGTCCTCTCAGCTACGAACCAACCCAGAGCTAGGAGAACTGGACTGCGCGCCCCAGCCGGCAGGATGACATAAAGAAAAGGGGTGGGGAGGAGGAAGAAGGGGCAGAGCCAAAGGAATCCGCTCCCTCCACAAGCCAGTCCCCGCCTCCCGACAGGATCTTGGAGGCGGCCGGCGACCGCCCGAACAAGCACCACGTCACGGCATCCCGACGCGTCCCCGCCAGCGCACCCCACCGCGGGGACGCAGCGCACTGGAAATCTAAGCAGCAGTAGCGGGAGCCCGCTCCGGCAGCCGGGATCTCGTGTAATCCTTCCCCCACTCAAGTGTCAAGGAGGCAAGCCCGCCCCGCCCCCTCCCCAAACACGCACGCTCTCACAGCACCACAACAAGAGCAGCCCGCCCACCCTCCTCACTGGTGCCGCTCAGCGCCAGCCCCAATGTCAAGCCCACTACCCAAGCCCTTCAGGACCAGTAGCCGGTGTCAGGGGCCACGGTCGGCATCAGCGCCTCGCTCCCTCCTCAGCGGAGAGGACAACGGAGAGAAACTAGGCGCGCGGACAGCCAGGCAGACGACCGAGACTCACCGGGAGGCGCCCAGAGCTGGACCCCCAGGATCCCAGCACCAGGCCTGCCAAAGTCCCCCTCAGCCCACCTCAGGGAGCCCCACGATCCCGTTAGGAGACAACGGAGGATGGGGCTGGGCGCCCCAAGCCGGGGACCAAATGCTTGGCCCGGCGCTCCTCCAGCCCGGCTAACCTGCCAGCTCTTCCCGGCACCCTGTCCGAGAGTCACCCACCTGCCCGGCCTTTCGGGGCTCATCTAAAAGGCTCCTCCGCCAAGACTAGGGAACACCAGGAATTGGGTTTGTTTGCGGTGCCTCAGAAGGGGCAAGATGGCGACAGGCATCAGGGCGCAGGCGCAGCCGCGCGCTGCCAGTCGGGAGGTGTAGTTCGCCTTTCCCGCCTTTCGGAGAACAGGCTCCAGAAGGCTTCCATTCTCCCAGTCCCTCTTTTCCTCCGCGTTTTGAAAGGAAAGAAGAGACATCGCGGGAGGTGCTGGGAGTTGTGGTCCCGACCCAACTCCCTCCTCTTTCGCTGTCGGTATGCTGTCGCAGGCGCAAGGAAGGCCGGGATTGTAGTTTCCCTGGCTTCTCCTCCATACCCTCCTTCTCCGGCTTCGCGCGCCTCTCCTCCAGCTGCCGTCTCCCAACCAATCGACTGCGCTCTCTGCTACGTGTGGCGTCACACGTAGAGGCCAAGATGGCGTCGGTAGCTGGAGTTGGGGCTTTGCCGCGACCTTTACTCTAGGCGAGGTTAGGGACGGTAGGAAAGCAGCTTTGTCCCTGAAGCGCTGTTGAGGATTAGGATCGGATTCCTCAGAGTCATGGGAGCAATTGTCAGCGGCCTCCACAGCCCCCACCAGACGCAAGTCAAGGAGAGAGAATCCACGCTACGAGAACCGACATAGCGGACGTTGCGATTGCCAGAGCCCAGGCTGGCGGTTGCCGAGTTGCCCGTGGAGAAGTGGAACCCGAGCGTTCTTCACTTCGGGTCTCTCTCCACGTGTGAAGTGGGAATGATAGTGATATCTCGTGCTTTAGCTGTCAAAGGCAAGAAGGAGAAGGTATTTGTTAGAGGCCCTACGACGTGGTAGGTTCATCCTTCAGCCTTTGTTCTTATTTAATCACAGAACAATTGTGGGACGAAGGTATTGTTGCCCCTATTACACGTATGAGAAAGGGGGCCCAGTGTGTAGTTACTCGCGGCCATAAAACCGAAACCAGTGCTTGGTATTGTTGAAGAGTCAATCAAGTGTTGTGATTGCCCTTCCTCCTAAATTGTGTACTTTGGGAAATCTCGGGTCTGGTAAAAATGCCCAAGTCAAAGGGGGTTTTTAATATGCTTTCTGGTATTGACAAAGTTTTCTTGTAAAATGGGGTTGATACCACCCTATGGGGATATTGTGATACACAAAGTAGGGAAGAGTTATTTGTGGATTGCGAACCTTTGTGCAAACGTGTGAGACTGGTCATATCCTTGAATGGAGCAGTAGATTAGGAAGAGAAAATAAATAACAGCATTTAAGTTTCTTACTACTGTTTACTCATTAGCTAAAAATACTCTGTAAGGTCCCAGAAAATTGTTTTTGTTGAAACCCAAGCCTGCCCCTCCAGAAAGTCATGAAGTGGGACAGATGACCTCCAGGCCCTCTTCTCCCTCCCTTATCTTGTAATGCGTTCTCTTCCATCTATTTCCCAGTAAATTTAGGTGCCACCTGTTTTCAGGTCAATGACTCAACTTTTGGAAAGATGGTAAAAGAAACTTTTAAATATTTTGTTGTTTAACATACTTTCTTTGATTTGAGCCTTATAGTATCTAAGGTAAATATAGTTTAGATCTTCCCTACCCCCCCCCCCCCCCCCCCCGCCACACACACACACTATGAATGAGGAAAACACAGAAATTGATGAACTCACCCAATTTCACAAAGCTAGGAATTGAAGGGAGCTGGGCTTTTTAACCCCAGGTCTTCTGACTTCCAAGTGTCTTCTATACAATAAATGTCAAGGTGACGGGTAATGGAGTGGAAGTGGAAAGCCAGGCTGCTTATAAAACTGGCACTGACCACAATCAGTAGCATATAAGTCAAGAATTATAGCTTACTCCTATGCTTACTTAATGTTAAGTATTGCTGTAAGCGTCTCACATACTAATTCATTTAGTCCTTAAAATTTTATGAGATAGAAACTATTATGTCTAATTACAAATGAGAAAACTGAGGCAGAGAAAGGAGGTTAAATAGCTTGCCTAGAGTCACACATTATAAATAAATGGTAAAGCCAGGACTTAAATATAAGCAGCTTGACTCCAGTGTATGCTCTAGACTAGTGGTTCTCAAACTTTCGTGTTCAGTAGGAACCCCTGAGGATCTTGTTAAAATGCATCTTGAGTGTTTCTGGATAGGTTCTAAGATTCTATATTTCTAACAAACTCTCAATCTTCCACACATCCTCCCTTTCTTCCTAACTATATTTGTATTTTGTGACCAGAATCTGCCTTCCCCGTACTGCCTCTGATTGCTCCATATTCCCGAATATTCCCAATATTAAATTCTCTTCCTTAAGGGTCAGAGTCATACTTCACCCTCAAGAAGCTTATCCTGCCCCTGACTTTTCCTTCTAAGACAGGCATTCCTGCCTCTGCTTCTACACATTGTATTACAAAATTCAGAACATTTGATTTATGGTCATTTGTTTGAAAATCTGACTAGACAATGGGCTCTTCAAGGAGAGATCTTTGCACTCTAGTACCTAGCACATAAAAATAATAGCTAATACTTCTCCAGGGCTTTCTCTGTTCCAGATACTGTTTTATTTTTTATTTTTTATTTTTTATTTTTTTAAATTTTTTTTTTTCAACGTTTATTTATTTGTGGGACAGAGAGAGACAGAGCATGAACGGGGGAGGGTTAGAGAGAGAGGGAGACACAGAATCTGAAACAGGCTCCAGGCTCTGAGCCATCAGCCCAGAGCCCGACGCAGGGCTCGAACTCACGGACCGCGAGATCGTGACCTGGCTGAAGTCGGACGCTTAACCGACTGCGCCACCCAGGCGCCCCCCAGATACTGTTTTATACATTAACTTGTTTAGTCTCCACAAAACCCTTTGGAGAATACTATTACCATTTTACGGATGAAGAAACTGAGGCACAGAGACATTAAGTAGTTTCCCCAAGACAACACACTAGTTAGCAGCAGAGCCATGATTTCAAGTTAAGGCACTTTGCACTTTGAGTCCACGAAATGTGTGATAAATAAAATGAGAGCCATCCTCCAATTCCACAAAAGAAAAACCAAGACTTACTGTCCTACTAGACATAACTACCTCTAGTCTGGGGAGATGTATTGGAGTACACTATCTGTCTCCAACTTTATTCCACTATTGACCAAGCAGGTTTCTTGAAACAAACTTCTTCAAGGGGCCTACCATCCACCATTCAAGTTTTGTAGTGCTA